GCTTATCCATGAGGCAAGTGCATTTCCGGTATTTCTGTCACAAAAAAGAGAACAGAGGATGGAAACAGAGAAGGACAATCAAAGTAACAGAGGTCTTCCCATCTAGGGGAGATTAAGCAGGGTTTTGGGGGGGAATATCTAAATATAACAATATTAAAAAAGTCAATTACATCATTAATAATATGAAATCAATTTTACACAACACTCAGTTAAGCAACCTTCTAAGCCACGTACCAGCTTAAAGAAAAGTACACCAGAATGGAAGACCACACATTTACTGTTTCTGAATCTCTCCCCTTCAGCATTTACTGCTGTCCACACAGCAAATAAGAAGAGAGGTCCATGCAACATGCTTCACATGTTGCAAGGCTTTCTTAGTATTACATCAAGTAACCAAGGCACAGCCAATGCAAGAACCCTCAGTTTAAGGCATTTTCACCCTCTTTCAGCATGAGCATTCTGACCCAGCGTACCAGGAATCACTTCAATCCCTTTTCAAACTTGCTCTACAGCTTCAATCAACTGAAATCTCATTTCCCTGACTGCAAGACAGGAAAAACACGTGTTCATTTTTGTAAATATTAAGATCTGTTGTACTTTTTTATCTATAGAAGTTCCAGGCATCATGAATTTTGTTGAGTGCTATAAAAGTGCCTATAAATAAAGTATTTGTGGGATGCTGCTGCTTGTGTTGTCCCTGTTCTTTGAATAGCAGACGGTTTCTAGTCTTTACAATCTGCCATTTGCATTAAATTCATTTGCATCAAATGCATATGCATCAAATGCATTCTGAGAAACAAAAAGCTGAAATGAACCAGCATAATTCCAAACCTACTCATAGTCTAGAAGAGGATTTCTAAAAAGCCATGCTAAAACATATGTGCAAGGAAACAGAAGAAAACCTTCTTTAAAGAATAAAGAAATGTAAAAATGTATTAGAGTGTGCTCCAGATTCTCTCTATATTTACTAATCTTCACTATGTTAACAAATAGCTTCCTTTATGCTCATATAAGCCCCAGCTAACATACATCATGATTACAGCCAGCCACGTTAGAATGCAAAGTCTACATTACTATTTGTGTGCAATTACTCTATTAATTAAGTTAATGAGTCAAGCACTGAGGTGTTCAGAATTGTATGGAGACTAATGTCCACTGGGAATTACAAACGTACTACATGTGCCAGTCACATTCCCAGTTCCTTTCCCATTCTACCCCTATTCTCATATGATTAAGTATCACAGACAAGTAAACTGTACTGGTCACTGGGAATTCTACCCAGAAGGACAAAAAAAACAGTGGATGAACACTGAAACATATTCTCCTATTGAGACTCATCTCTCTCACATTTTAAGTTCAAAAAATAAAAAGCCAGATCCGCAAACACAGAAAGAAATGCCAAACAAACCCACATACACACTTTCAGCTAACATTTAAAGTTCTTTGCTTATTAACTATGGGAGCTTTATACTCTGTCCTGGAGCACCAAGAAGGAATAAGAAAATCAGTCTTGCTCTCAGCAACTTCTCATTCAGAAGCTTGAGAAAATAAGTAATCAACAAATATCTAGCAAAGATGCTGATAAGGATGATCCTTATAACTGCACAGGAATTAAAATTATGGTCAAGAAGTGACACTTTTTAAAATCACAGCAATATACTGTAAAGACAGAACATCTGACAATATGTTATTATAAACATCTACACTGATATATTTCCCATTTCATTCTATGAGCTTCCATAGTAGGTAAGATCCCTTCTAGCACCGAGGTTCCCTCCACCAAAACTCAATCACTCTTACTGAAATTTGCCAAAATGCTTTGACCCATAGTTTACAAGTTTTAATAATCTTATTAATTTATGACAGTAGCACAAATCTTTCTCCTCAACATAGAAATGAGAACTCACTGAAATGCATCAGAAAGCATATAATAAATATTCCCACCCACCTATCCCTGACAGTCATTTCTGAGCGGGAAAAACAGGAAAGCTGGATGAGTATTTTGTTCTCAAACATTATCTGTTGGCATCAAGACATGCAGTTTAGAGGCTGAAATACATAAGCTTTTCAGTACAGCACTTTACATTCAAGCTAATATGAACATTTGAAAGAAAATGTCAAGAAATCCACCTGAACAGTGGATTCCAAATGCAGAAGAACTACTAATTCTGAGTTTCTGGATTAATATGGGAAAGGAAGTGAATAATGATTTAATTGACCCCTTTCCAGTTGCTGTGCCTTGCTGGTGGACAAAACAGAGAGCAACGCAGAAGGAAAAAAATCAGCATCTACAACAGAATAATCAGTCAAAAATGGATCACTCCATTGTATACCTATAAAAAGAAACCACACAACAAAACAGCTGGCAGCCTGTGATTAAGCCTAAGGTCTCCTGACAGTATAACAGGCTACTGACACTTAACTGACATGCCAACATCGACAGTCTGAGAGAAGGGACCTCTGGGAATTACAGAGAATGATAAAAACTACGGTGAGCAACTGGAAGACAAGCCCAAACCCTCACAATAACACTAGAAAATAAGACAGATGCACATCTCATGACCAAAAAAGGAAATAGATGAGCATTTAAGATTGTAGCAAGTAAATATTTATTTACTCTAAATAAAATTGACTTCCTTAAAAGTTTCTTCTCTTATCCTGTCAAATACCAAGGCAGTTGTTCCACAACCATTATCCCTCAAAACCACCTATCACATCAAAATTATAACAATCTAGATAAACTTAAAGCACTCTTTAAAAGTCATGACAAATTAGCATGGAAAAACTCTACATATTTTAATAATATTTACCTCATGGTCTTGGTTATCTTGTCCATCTTTGCCACTTTTTCCACTCTTGACTGATTTTGTAGGTTCCTTAAAAAAAAATAATTTTGCAGTCTCAGTTTTTCTGAAAAGGAGATCTAGACAGATTTTCAAGTCAAGAAATCAGGTTTATTTAGACACTCACTAAAAGTAATAAAATTGACAAAACGAAAATGATACTGTTTTATTGGAAGATCTTAATACTGAACTATCGGTCTTCACAAAGCTGCCTTAAACATTTTTATCTGTAGAAAGGCTTTGGAATTTTATTTATGCCTCAAAATTCACCTATAAAGATAAGCTTTCACACAGGTGAGCAGGCAGAGACAAAGAATGCAAGTGATTTGAACGATGTCTATGACCTTGCTCTCCTCCCTTTATAGCTTCAGATATATTTATATTTAGTTTAGCTTTGAAACCAGCATGAGTATAGTACACATTTTACACTTCATTATTTTGTCTGTTCTAGGGACTAGAAAGTCTCGTACTAGAAGTAGGCCCACAACTCAATTTTCTCCCTCACAGCATCCTACTTAACTTGCATCCTTCACTCGCGGCATACTTTTGACATTCGTTACTCTCAGAAAAGTGAAGGAAAGTTTCAATGTTTTTAAACGTCAAAGGTGCCAAGGATATTGGAAAAAAAATTAAAGCGAACAAACCCCCCAAAACCACAACATCCAATTTCCCCACATCTCATTTTAAAGTCATGTTGACAAACTAAAAGACAAACAGGATCCACCAAACAGGAGCGGTCGGGAGGGCCGGCAGCTGGATGAGGCAGACAGCACACTTCGCTGTCTCTGACTTCCACTCACATGGCTAATTGCCTCTCACAAAACAGAGTGCGATCCAGCGAACTTCCTGCTGGATTTACAAGTTTTCTGCCATCATTACTTGTGCAAGCCCCTCTCGTGGCCGCCAGACAAATCCCTCCCGGGAGCGCCGGTGGAGCCTGAGGCGAAGTGGGGCCAAAGATCCTCTCCTATTGTCAGGAAAAGGAGCCGAAAGACTCCCGAGAGGCGATCAGGGCTCCTGGGATACTTAAGGAGATCCCCCAAGCACAACTCCCACCGCAGCCTGAGCTACGCAGCAGCCAAACTTCCCGGGACGGGGCGCGGGCGAGCAGCCGTGGGGAAAGACCCCCCACGCAGCCCTGCCTGGAAAACACTCCTTCCCGCTCCCCCAGCACCCCCGGCCCCTCAGCGAGACCTCCTCTTCCCACTCAGCCTCCGACCAGCCGCGGACTGAGCAGGACACGTTTCTCATCCCCTCCCTCCCGCACTCCCCCGCACGCCGAACCCCGCGGCCGCCCCCACCGAGGCGACATCGGGACCCGCCTCGGCACCCCCGGCCTAGGCCCCGCGGGAGCTAGCCCCTTCCACGCGCCGGCTCTGGGAGGAGGCGGGCGGCACGGCACACAGCGGTGAGGGAGGAGGGTACCCCTCGCCCGGCTCTGCCGCTGCACCGGGGAGCGGAGCCGCGCTCCGCTCGCCTCTGCGCCCCCCGCCCAGGCCCCTCCTCCTCTTCCCCGCGGGGCTGCGCCCCACAGCCTCCCGCGGGCTCCGCCCCCCGCCCCCTTCCTCCCCGCCTGCGGACCCCGCCGCTTACTCACTTCTCCTTTCTTGTTTTTTATTCGGCATGTTCGGTAGGCGCAGCCCCCGCCGGCCCCGCTCGGCCCCGCGCCCGCGCCCGCCCGCGCTGCCGCTGCCCGCTCCCCCGCTCCGCGGCGGCTCGCGCCCCCCCCTTCCTTCCCCGCCGCGGGGACGGCGCGCCCGCCCATTGGCTTGCGCGCGTTCACGTGGGCCGCGCCTCGCGCCGCGTCAAACCCGTGCGGGCGGGTGAGGGCGCCCCCGCCCGGCCCCCCCTCGTAATTCCGTAGCGCGTCCGGGGCGCTCCCGCCGCGGATCGTGTGGTGATCCCGGCCGGTCTTCCCGGGCTCCAGCTTCGTCTCCAGGTGGCCCCGCGGGCTGAGCGGGGACAGCGGTGCGAGACGAGGTGTCCTCAGCGCCCCGAGCCTCCAGTAGGCTCTTCCTCAGCCCGTGGGAAGCGAGTGATCGCTGCACCCCCCGCCCTGAGCCGCTCTGGGTAGTGAGTGGCTCCGGGCGCCTGTCACTGGAGAGCGGAAATGCTAAGGAAAAAAAAAAACAAAACCAAAAAAACCAACAGAGCATACCTGACTCACGCTGGCTCTCTGGTACAAACCCAGTGTGCCTATCATCAGTGTGAGGACTTCAGAGCATGCTTGCAGTGTGTGGTGCGTGAGGAAAAGGTGAGCTTTGCAAAGTTGCAGCCTGGTTTCCTGATAGTATTTTTATCCCTTGTTACCTTTTAAAAGCTTGGGTGCAGGTGTCTGTGTGTTTTCACGGTGACCGCCTGAACCAGAGATAATTTTTTAAATTATCAATTAACAAATCGCTTTTTAATCTCTCAAAGGCAGAATGCAAAAAAATCAGAACAATCTTGGACAAAAGAAATGTGCAGATACTTCATCTGCAAAATCTGCAAATTGTATTTCTCGCACTGCCAGATTAAGCCCCAAATTACTGTTAGTTGAGTAAAATGTGCAGGGGACCTTAATACTCATAATAATGCCAGGACATAAAGCATTTAAAATTTAGGTTGGGCATACTTGTTAAATTCTAATTGTGCTGTACTGCTAAAGGATAGAAAAATTACAGCTTAATAAATACAGCATAAAAGTGCAATTGGTCTCCTTCCTTACCCAACCTGTAAGTATCAAAGCCAGCATGAGCAAACAGCTATGTTCTCCTTTCTGGGAAGTGGGATTTCTAATAACCACTTGTGTCTGAAGGGATGGTCTCTTAACATCAGCTTGTATCCATTATATTTTATCATTGCTTTTGCTGTGGCAAAAGGACACAGAAACTTTCCCTTTTCCAGGCACTGCAAAGAAGTCTACTCACTATGGAGAGCTGTTTCCTCTTACATCAGCCCTCTTCCTTTCCTGCTTCTTAAGTGCTGGAAAACAAATTATGTCTGCCTCTTATCCTTTCCTTAATCTTCTCTGGTTTGAGGGTTTATAAATGCAGTGCAGTTATCACTATTGTGCCTCTGTTAATAGCCAGTCATGAATGAGTTACGACTAATAAATGAGATTTCTCACCGACAGAATAAATGGATTTTGAACATATTGAGCGACAGTAAAGAAAAGAAATCTACCTCCATCTGTAGTCTGGAGTTTGATCAGTGTGTGAAAGGGTTTGGACAGCTAAGAATAAACTCAAGAGCTTCCAGTTTTTTGTTAGGTTTCAGTTTCATAGAAGCTTAAACTACTCTTAATTCCCAGCTGTTGTGCTCCTATCTCCCTCCTCTGCACTGATGCTGGTACTGTGCAGCTCCCTAAACCTGTTCACAGAATTGATTAGGTTGAAAACTGTCCTCCCAAAGCAATGTATTGGTTTGATTTTGGTTTGGTTTGTTTTTTGCCTTTTTTTTTTTTTTTTTTTCTTGAACTGGCACACCACCACCTGCTTCTGTAAACACTAGCATTGGCTGAAGGAAGGGGGTGGAAATATGTGGCGGGGGCGGGATGTGACCTCAACAGCCTAGATTTAGATCGGTTTAAGCAGCTTAATGAGTTTCTCATTGGCTCTTGGCCTCCTTTGTGCTTGCTAGTGCTCATAGTTTTTCCAAATAATGGAAAAACTCTGTCAGTATCGATGTTACCCAAGTGCTTCTGAATAGCATCAGCAAAAATCGTCTGTCCTTATTTTGCAGTTAGTTGGGAAACCTTGAATCGATACGTTGGACTGAATACAGGTTCAAAAGATGGTGCTGACTCAGTTAACATTTAGGAGGTTTTCTTTGTGACCACAGATGTAGAAACTCTTGGGAAAACTTGACTCCCCCTCACTGCACTTGCTGCAGAGTCCAATTCACCAGTAACAGAAAGCAATTGTTTTTCAAGGCCTGCTGTATTAGATGAAATACTCAGTGGGTGGAGGAGGTTTACAAGAAAAATAGTTCCATCTGTATGCTCCAGTGTCTTCATAAAACATGAGAATAAGGCAAGTGACTTACATGATAAAATCTTATTTTTACTACAATGGTACGTCACTGTGGGCCTAATTATTCTGCTACAGAGCAGAATTAACTATGTAAATAAGGTGATGTAATATGAGTGTGAATATGGCTGTGTTAATATTTGCATTAACTTCTGAACGTTTCATGCAAACTAGCTGTTTTCAAAAATGAGAACAGATTCAGAACTATCTCTGTAATTAAAATGTCAAAAACTAATGCATACAGCATAGCTTCCAATTTACATTTTTTGCTGTAGTGATTAAATTGTCTAAACTTGCAAAACTTAAATCACCAGATAATGTCAAGTATTGTGTAAAACACCTGGATAATATTTAATAGCTTGAAACTGGGCCAAGTGTCCAGGGTGCCAATGAAAGGGGAATATTTACATAGTTAGTCTTTTCCAGAAGTATTGGATATTCTTTTTTGTTTGTTTGCTTTTCATTTGTTTTGTTGTCATACTCTGGCCTGAGTTTATTGAACAGATCACTGTCACTGTGATGGATAACATCTTCCATCCCCAGGTGCATGACTTTACTGCTTCCCATGCACTGTCTCTAGTTTAATTGGGTGGTATGACAGTTCAGCTTGTTAAAATGGCAGAAAACTAACTGAACTGTGAGACAGGAGACAAGGAGACCTTTTACTAGGAAGCTGTTAATTTGGCTCAACTGAAACTATGCAACTGCACTTGTGGACAAGGTTTGAAAAGCCAATGAACTGTCATCATTATACATAGTTGTCAAACATTGTCAGGCTGTTTCTCCAAACATCTCTTCACTGACTGAAGCAGATCTCTTGCTTTCTGGGGCTCTGTGTCAGATGTAAAGAGAGAATTGAAAATGGAAGCACCACTGCCAGTAAGAAGGCTGGAATAGATGGCTTGAAATTTAAACAAATTTTTTTTTCATGCTTGTGCAGGTCAAACTACTATTTAAGGTAACTTTCCTGTCAGGAGCAAGTGATTGCCAGATTATGTCTGAAGGAACTAACTGAGGGAATAAACTACTTCATCAGCACCTGCAATAGTCTCTGCTTCTATGCAGCCTAGCATCAAAAGCTGCAAAACCAGTATGTTCAACTCCCAAAAAAAGCTTAAACATCTTTCAGGAACTTTCTCCACTAGCATGGATTCATTCTGCTTACCCTAAATTACAGTAAATAATTCTTGTGCTGTTCTCAATCTAAACTGTATGGCTTTAATTCTCAACTCTTTTAAAATCCATTAGTGTTGGATGCCCTGCTGTCACAATCTGCAGTGTTGTAAAGGTTGCAAAACAATTTAGTCAAAGCTGTATAAAAGTCAGACTCTTTTGAAGTAATGAATAACGGGTCAAATTTGGAGCTTCATGCATGTAGACAGCGTGATATTTTAGGTCTATGTGTGACCACATGGTTACAAATGGCATCACTTAACACAGAACTAGAGATGCACATTCAGAACCATAATTAATCGTATGTATGTGTAGTAGTGTCAGTATTGGATACCCTCTAGCTGTAATACTGATGCATATTTTTGTAAAGTTTGTACTGTTAAAAATTAAAAAAAATGCTCATGGATATTTAATTATGCTATCTAAATCTCAACTTTATGACTTTTCAATGACCATGGAATTATTACATTGAAATACAGATTGCTTTGAGTTTTGTCTGGTCTTAATTCATTTCACTCTCTTCCTTGCCTCTTATGTTTAAAACAATTGATAAGATTTCATTTGAATGTAGTGAACAACATTGTCAATTATTTAGGCAATGATAGCATTACAGAAAAGGTTTGCTATGAGACTTTTCACTTTAAAAAAAAATAAAATCATGACTCTCCTTCCTTCAGGTAAGTAGTGAAACTCATGTTGCACACCCTTTTCAGTAAGCTCCCAGAGGCTTATTGGCAAAACCAGAAGTCACCTTGCTTATCTTCTACTGGGGAGCAGCAAGAGTTGTTCCACGAGAGAGAAAGAGTTCGGAAAAGAACATGGCTACAGCAAAGACAAGGTCCTCTCTGACCAGGGTACCATCTCAGTGGGGTCAGGATAGTGATAGTCACCACTCTGAGACAAGGCAAGGTAAAAAGTCAGCGGTCTATCCAAGAAATCCACTAAGGAAAAACAGGAGACCAAAGACCAAAATGGAGACATGACTTCCTATAACACAGATCTGAGCTTCAAGGAGACAAGCCCAGAGAGAGGACTATTATAACACAGGTTTATGGTTCATCCAGGAGACCAGGGCCAGAGAGAATGGGGTACCTGCAGTGTGCACCTGAGGTCCACCTAGGAAGTTCAGTCAGTAAGCCCTGCTGGAAAGAGTCAGGGCTGGATGTAGATACAGCTCGGACAAAGTGGGCCAGGTTTGGGTGCACAGGCCAGAGCTTAAACAGAGCTCCTGGACCACTTGGAAATACTGTTACATATGACTGGTAACTGGCCTGCTGTTGCATGCCAGTAACCATTGTCCATGTTAATTAACACGTGGGTTCTGGATTTCTGTCTGGGCCAACTTAATTTTAAAATGAATGTGAAAAAACATAAATAATGAGTATGGAAAACTCACGCAGAATGTTACTAAGGCATTGTACTGGTTTTAGCTGGGATAGAGTTACATTTCTTCACAGTAGCTTCTAGTGGGGCTAGCTGTGCTTTGGATTTGGGACGAAAACACTGTTACTAACATAAGAATGGTTTTGTTATGGCTGAGCAGTGATTAGACAACCTCAAGGCCTTTTCTGTTCCTCACACCAGTGAGGAGGCTGGGGGTGCACAAGAGATTGAGAGGGGACACAGCTGGGACAGCTGACCCCTGCTGACCCAAGAGGTATTCCATAGTGTATGTTGTCTTGCTCAGCAGTAAAGCTGGATGGAGGGATGGGGAGGTTGGCAGGGGTTGTCATTGCATGGGGACTGGCTGGGCATCAGTTGACTGGTGGTGAGCAATTGTTTGGGGGTTTTTTGCATATTTCTTTTTTATTCTCTCTCTTTTTTAATTATTAAACAGTCTTTTTCTCAACCTATGAAATTTCACACTTTTACCCTGCTGATTCTCACCCCCATCCCACTGGGGATAAGTGAGCGAGCAGCTTTGTGGTGCTTAGCTGCCTACGGGGGTTAAACTACATGGCAGGCATCACTACTGAGGTTCAGTAATATCCTGGACAAATTATATATAACAAAAATATCTAATATTATCTAATGACAGTTAAAACATTTTTATCTGCTTGTGGCCACAGTT